ATGAGAAGTATTGTGCAAGATATTTATGCCAAAACAAGCAAACTAATCAGATTGAAGGGGCAGTACAAATGCAAATGCTATCGTTTTCATTGAAAAAATTTTTTTTTACAGATTGGGTGATATTTTGTGATGGTTGAAAAAATTACATCTTGTAGCTGAAATCCCTTCCAAAGAAAATAATATAATTTACTTACTTCATATTCAGTATTTGTACATCTCTATGTGCAGTGAGCGCAGTTGAGTGTATGTTTGCATGCATGTACTGTAGTTATGCCTGAATGCATGCTTGAACTTCCACATACTGTACATTATGCATTTAAAAATACACAGCTGAACTCTGCCCTAGTGCCAGTACCTCCCTTTGTGCCACACTGAGGCCATGAGACAATAGTATCATGGAAGAAGCATGGGGTTCAGGACCTCTTGGGTTGCTCTTGGAAAAGTCCTACAAACGTATTAAAATCACTGGCACTGTAAAACAGGGCGCTGGCATGACTGGGAATGACTGTCTCTGAGCATCGGGGCATTGAGTTGATCTTGGCGGTTTTCTGCTGCTGTGGGCAAACAGGGAGGATGTATAATGAGGAGGAGATCCGCAGAGGTCACGCAAATGAGACCTCAAAACCGTACAGAGAAAGCCTGTATGTGTATGAGATGTTTTAGTGTGTTTACCATATACACTCACCTAAAGGATTATTAAGAACACCATACTAATACTGTGTTTGACCCCCTTTCGCCTTCAGAACTGCCTTAATTCTACGTGGCATTGATTCAACAAGGTGCTGAAAGCATTCTTTAGAAATGTTGGCCCATACTGATAGGATAGCATCTTGCAGTTGATGGAGATTTGTGGGATGCACATCCAGGGCACGAAGCTCCCGTTCCACCACATCCCAAAGATGCTCTATTGGGTTGAGATCTGGTGACTGTGGGGGCCATTTTAGTACAGTGAACTCATTGTCATGTTCAAGAAACCAATTTGAAATGATTGGAGCTTTGTGACATGGTGCATTATCCTGCTGGAAGTAGCCATCAGAGGATGGGTACATGGTGGCCATAAAGGGATGGACATGGTCAGAAACAATGCTCAGGTAGGCCGTGGCATTTAAACCATGCCCAATTGGCACTAAGGGGCCTAAAGTGTGCCAAGAAAACATCCCCCACACCATTACACCACCACCACCAGCCTGCACAGTGGTAACAAGGCATGATGGGTCCATGTTCTCATTCTGTTTACGCCAAATTCTGACTCTACCATCTGAATGTCTCAACAGAAATCGAGACTCATCAGAGCAGGCAACATTTTTCCAGTCTTCAACTGTCCAATTTTGGTGAGCTCTTACAAATTGTAGCCTCTTTTTCCTATTTGTAGTGGAGATGAGTGGAACCCGGTGGGGTCTTCTGCTGTTGTAGCCCATCCGCCTCAAGGTTGTGCGTGTTGCGGCTTCACAAATGCTTTGCTGCATACCTCGGTTGTAACGAGTGGTTATTTCAGTCAAAGTTGCTCTTCTATCAGCTCGAATCAGTCGGCCCATTCTCCTCTGACCTCTAGCATCAACAAGGCCTTTTCGCCCACAGGACTGCCGCATACTGGATGTTTTTCCCTTTTCACACCATTCTTTGTAAACCCTAGAAATGGTTGTGCGTGAAAATCCCAGTAACTGAGCAGATTGTGAAATACTCAGACCGGCCCGTCTGGCACCAACAACCATGCCACGCTCAAAATTGCTTAAATCACCTTTCTTTCCCATTCTGACATTCAGTTTGGAGTTCAGGAGATTGTCTTGACCAGGACCACACCCCTAAATGCATTGAAGCAACTGCCATGTGATTGGTTGATTAGATAATTGCATTAATGAGAAATTGAACAAGTTCCTAATAATCCTTTAGGTGAGTGTAGAAGTGCTGCTTTATTGAAACAGTACATTTAAGGCAATAATTTCACGTACAATGCACCTGTGAAGCAGTCTCATCGTCACTTAGTCAAATCTACCTGCTTTACTTAATGTTATTTTCAGCGGGGAAGCCAACATGAAACCTTCTCTGTTGGATGTTAATTGTGTGGCGCCTTCATTCATTTGCCCGCAGACAATTTTAGGCAAACAGCATAAAAGCCGTCAACAGCATTCTGATGACAGTTTGACCACACTTGAAGCTCAATAAAAAAAGTCTGCTAAGTTTAAGAAGAAAACAAAACAAACAAACACTTGATTTGAAAATCTATTTTCTCTATTTCTGTTAAGTCACATTAAAAATATATCAAGTTAAAAGGGCTTTTATGTACTCTGCTCAGCTTGGAACTCCCTAAAATATCTTTTTAAATTGAAAGAACTTGTCTCTCTTTAAATCAACTTTAAATCACTGATGAAGGACTTTAAGGCGGATTCAATTACTTGTCATTGTTTGTAATTCAGTTATTGTGAATCAATTTGTTCTTGCATGTTATTGTTGTATTGTATTTTTGCAGCTTTCATACAACCACTTGCTATCACAATGAGCCTTTCCTGTTTAAATAAAGGTTTAATAACAGTCTTAGTTAGACAAATCAACTGAGTAAAAGTTACAGTCTTTATTTATGTTGTTCAAAGTCTCTCCACACCTTTAATACATTTAAGGGCTGTAAGTGCGCAAATTAATCGTTTGCAGTCCACAGGGAGGACTAGCGGGCCCTTTCAACCTAAAATGGTTTCAAGAAATTGAATCAAACATTGGAAGTGTTCAAGGCCAAACAGTGTGAGCAGCTACACTGAGATATCACCTGACATCTCCCAGCCCTCTTTTATCTTCTTTATCTTCTGGCTGTCTTGTGCTTCCTTTGGTCACATTAGAGGATTTTGGGGATTTTTTTTTTAAATTTTATTAGTAGTAACCACTTTACCTACTTGCATCCAATTTCACCTTAAAACGCAAATCAAAAGAAGGTCATCCATCAAGACATTAAGAATTTATCTTTTGTCTGAGCCAGGCTGCAAGAACGCTGCAAAGCGTGACAGGATGTCTGGCTCTTGTTATGTGTGCGGCGACGGAGCTATTTCAGAGGCTTTTTGTTTTTTGGACACCGAGCTGCTCCCTCCAGCAGAAAGTGAGCAGCCCTTCTTACAGTAAGAGCGAAAGATAATATATTTTATTTTATGTGTTTTGGGAAGAGAGCATGTTAAACATATATTAAACATAAACCCATTTAAAGCTAATTGAATACAAATAAAGGGTCAGGGTATAAAATAAGAAAAGTGGGCAAAGGGACATATCAGGTATTAATGTTAACTGTTATATTTTTCCTACCAGTAGGTGAGATATTCTATGTCCAGACTATTATAAGAAGTGAGGGCCCCCTAACATATTTTTCTTGGACAGGTCCCACACTACATACACACCACATATGCACACAGATACACATCCTCCATGAAAACTCAGTGTGCTTGGAGAGGGAAGGCGGACATTTCGGGTCGCGTGGCTACATTATACTATAGTAGCGGCTTTTATGAGACAGACAACATGCCTGACTCCAGCGGGAAAACCTCATGATGGACAGGCACTTTACCTGTGCCAAGAGCAGGCAGGCTAGGAGGAGGGAAAATGAAATAAAATCAATACTCGAACATAACTTTTTAAATAAACATTTGCACTCCACGGACATTGTTGGCAGTGGGAGCCAGTAACCTGTCCCCATTGGTGGAACTCAACACCAGACCGTTTGAGGAGCACTGGCTCCCATCGAGGTGATGGCTACTGGCAAGATGTGACGTGAATAGCTATGTTATGTTTATCCAAGGTAAAAGAAGAGGTGGTTTTGGGGGGGGCAGGGCTGAATTCCTGCAGTGAGGCTGCTCTTTCCCTGAGCATGGGTTTTCACAGCTTGCTGATGATGCTCAAAGATGCCTTAACCTCAGCAGGAGTGATGCCTACCCACTTTAAGCAACAATTCTCCACCAAGAGGCAAGAAATTAGATGAAGCTGCTTCAACTACAGCAGGACTGTATTTGAAGGTGTGATTCAACAATGGCTTTCTGTTTTTGTGGTGAGGATAGCTGTGCATTTTAAAAGGCAGACACCTTTGGAACTTAGTTTTGAAACACCAAGTCACAGTGTGGGACATTTTTCTGAGTAATTTAAAGAAAAAAAAAAAAAACACATTGCCATTTTTATTTTTAGGAATAGTCAGTCAAAAATGCTTTAAAGAAACTGCTACACCTCATTATTCATCTGGTTAGGATGTAAAGTAAAACCTTTGCAGAAATCCACAATAGATCTTCATTAAACCAGAATGCAAGTCAGCCATAAAACACAGAGCGGGGTATCCTTTGAAATGTTTTTTGCTTCGTTATGATAGTGGTAGCTGAAAGGAAGAGAGAGGGGATGATATGCAGCAAAGGGCTCAGGCTGAACCCAAGCTGTCAAATGGGTTTCTCTTCAAAGCCAGTTTTTACATTAAAAGAATTAAAATGAGTTAATTTAATCTTAACCCTACAGAACAAATACTATCTGTTCAGCATGACGGAGGACAAGGCTATGTGAGGAATATGAGTCCCCACCCTGCATGTACCATAAGTAGTGATGGCAGGATGAAGCTATGGGGCTTTATTTCTGGGCTAGAAATAAAAGTGTAAAGCGTCTTTGCATCTGTGACATCTGTTTGCAAAAGGCATAGCAGCCCTTCAAGATGGGCTAAAGCACTGCAACTTTCAGTTTCATATTGTTGCAGGTTCTCAATGTATGAAAGGACTACAAGAATTGCATGACTCTGCTCGAGACCAAAGTGGTGGTTTTCAGCACACATTTAAATTTGTGTAAAATCCTTAATAGGCTTAAGTACTGATGCCATCATGACACAAGGTCAAAACATTAAGGTTAGTATCCTGGCAACAGCAGTTTGATTTAAATTAAGGCAACTTTGTAAACTCCGAATGCTCTGGTTTCAATGACATTAGATTTGTAGGAAACCAAAGGCATATTGGTCATTTAACCTATTCACCAAATTCTAGAACACACCAAGTCAAAAATCAAGTCAATGTTTTATTAAGAGCAGAGACAAGTACAGGTAGATGCAGAAACAATTTAGATGCACGAGTCTCTTGCATGGCTCCTAAAAATGCAAGTGTCACTTCGATTGGGTCTCACTGCTGCTGGGGGCCGCGCTGGTGGCCGGCATCTCGCTGGGGCCGGCGCTGATCAGTCCGGCTTTATGCAAAGATCACAGAAACTTGGTTACCCACATTGTGAGGCCATGAATCTGTTGCATACATTTTAGTAGTAGCATTTCACAGAATCTGCTCACCTGCTGTGACATCTTGCTGCAGTAGTGTTTCAGTTGTGCTGGCCATCTCGCTGCTGCTGCCGGGGCCGGCGCTGGTGGCCGGCATCTCGCTGGGGCCGGCGCTGATCAGTCCGGCTTTATGCAAAGATCACAGAAACTTGGTTACCCACATTGTGAGGCCATGAATCTGTTGCATACATTTTAGTAGTAGCATTTCACAGAATCTGCTCACCTGCTGTGACATCTTGCTGCAGTAGTGTTTCAGTTGTGCTGGCCATCTTGCTGCTGCTGCCGGGGCCGGCGCTGGTGGCCGGCATCTCGCTGGGGCCGGCGCTGATCAGTCCGGCTTTATGCAAAGATCACAGAAACTTGGTTACCCACATTGTGAGGCCATGAATCTGTTGCATACATTTTAGTAGTAGCATTTCACAGAATCTGCTCACCTGCTGTGACATCTTGCTGCAGTAGTGTTTCAGTTGTGCTGGCCATCTCGCTGCTGCTGCCGGGGCCGGCGCTGGTGGCCGGCATCTCGCTGGGGCCGGCGCTGATCAGTCCGGCTTTATGCAGAGATCACAGAAACTTGGTTACCCACATTGTGAGGCCATGAATCTGTTGCATACATTTTAGTAGTAGCATTTCACAGAATCTGCTCACCTGCTGTGACATCTTGCTGCAGTAGTGTTTCAGTTGTGCTGGCCATCTCGCTGCTGCTGCCGGGGCCGGCGCTGGTGGCCGGCATCTCGCTGGGGCCGGCGCTGATCAGTCCGGCTTTATGCAGAGATCACAGAAACTTGGTTACCCACATTGTGAGGCCATGAATCTGTTGCATACATTTTAGTAGTAGCATTTCACAGAATCTGCTCACCTGCTGTGACATCTTGCTGCAGTAGTGTTTCAGTTGTGCTGGCCATCTCGCTGCTGCTGCCGGGGCCGGCGCTGGTGGCCGGCATCTCGCTGGGGCCGGCGCTGATCAGTCCGGCTTTATGCAAAGATCACAGAAACTTGGTTACCCACATTGTGAGGCCATGAATCTGTTGCATACATTTTAGTAGTAGCATTTCACAGAATCTGCTCACCTGCTGTGACATCTTGCTGCAGTAGTGTTTCAGTTGTGCTGGCCATCTCGCTGCTGCTGCCGGGGCCGGCGCTGGTGGCCGGCATCTCGCTGGGGCCGGCGCTGATCAGTCCGGCTTTATGCAAAGATCACAGAAACTTGGTTACCCACATTGTGAGGCCATGAATCTGTTGCATACATTTTAGTAGTAGCATTTCACAGAATCTGCTCACCTGCTGTGACATCTTGCTGCAGCAAGTCTGTATTACAAAAGAAATTATGTTAGTATCAGAATGAACCTCTGAAAAGATTTCACAGTTGTTCTTACCTCTCACTTTCCTCTGCAGCCCATCATCGCTTCTGTCATTTGTGCCACCAACTGGTAAACAAGAACCTAAAGAAGAGTGTTCTCACTGTTAATCAAGTTTGTGCTTTAATGGCAAAATATGTCATGAACTTTTAGAGCCAAGTGACATTTCAGGAATTAAGCAATACTCAAAAGTTACCACATGGCACTCTCTCATAGCCAGAAGATTCTGTCTGAAAACATAATCTTTCTCTTACTTTAGCTGCACAGTGGTACCAATTTGTAAAACACAAGCTTCACACAGAAAAAAGATAAAAACCTTTGGCAAGACAAACAATCAGCACGCAAACAAGCACAGCCCGAACAGCTCCCATTGCTTCAGTTACCAAGAGAAAACGCTACCTGTGCCACATGCGAGGATTAAAAAGCCCATCATGCTGGTGACACAGGTGCTGCCGATCAGCTCTAATTGGCTCTCACTTTAGAGGAGTCAGAAGGCCTTTCTCATTTCATAAGCATAAACATGTGAACCTGTACAAAGTGTATATATAGAGTATGACTTTGCTGTTGTAAAAATTTCTGTTGCTGTTCAAGAAACAAAATAGAGTTATATTTAAGATAGTCAATTCTAATCCAGTTCTGAGTTTATAATGGTATCTTGATTATTTGATGATTCATGTGTTTATTGTTGTTGTTGGACTGGAGAGGAGAGGAAACAATGCAGTGGTCAAGCTGTCATGCACTAAAGACTGTAGTGATGGGCATTGCTGGAAATTCGGAGTCGTCAAGAAGGGGAGGAGAAGCTTCAGATTTGTCTTGAGCATTTTGTCAATAAAAGTGCGCTTATTTCAGCATTTTTAATTATTTATTAAAAATGATTGTAGTTATTACTAATTTCGCTTACTAAAGGGCAACAAGCTATCGATCTATCAATGTACAATAGTAAACAGAATGGTATAGTCCCAAAGCATCTGCATTGCACATTACTGGAATGTAAAAAATGTGTTCATCTCAGTGATGAATTATGTTGACCAAAGCAACAGTACATCTATGTGACTTGTTTTAATCCTTCTCAATCCAAATCAGTTTTATGACTTATAATCTGGTGTTGGCAAGATGAACTATGCTTGTAAGTAGGAGAAATACATTGCAGGTTTTGGTCTTTTCATAGACTATGCTAAGCTGAAACATCAATGGATTAGTTGGAGAGCAGGCTATAACTTCATCTTTAAGGGACTGGAGGGATCAAAATTGGCAGCACCTCTAACAAAAGACAGACAACGGAAAACAAATTAATTAAACCCATATCATTTAAAAAATGTGCCACTGATATGAACTTCTGTATCTGTATGCTAAAATAGAATGCTACTTTGCTTACTTTCAGCAACATGAAATTCATTTGCATTATCAAGAAAAACTTTTCTTGGTGGACATTTGGTTTTGAAATAAAGTTGTTCTTAATGCTACAGCCGTTGCTCTATTGCTGTCCATAAACATTAAAACACATCTGTGAGCTACACAATGGCATGTTCCTTCATTAACATGACAGGCACTACATTTATTTTGCAGTGATCCGACAGACGTTCACACTGTCCTGTCACTGCAAATACTTACTGGAGCTCCAACTGTGTATTAATCCATGTCTTACACATCACTGAGAAATCTAATGTAGCGTGCAGTGCCAACTTTAGGAAGCATTTCAGACAGGCCCATAAAAGCAGCGAGGTTTGATACCCAGTCCTGAAGAAGTGTTTAGTTAGTGTGGTTTAAGACACATCTCTCTTCTACCAAAATCAGCACTTTATTTCTTTAATAAAAAAAATATAAAATTCTGCTTGTATAATCCGCACCTGAATACATCCGTTCTCCCTGTGTTGAACAGCATTGTGGGAAACATAGGAAATCAGAGCAGCAGGGGTGCTTCTCAAGTCTCTTAATTGCATCTACGTTTCCCTCACTTGCGTCTTTTCCTTGCATCTTAGGGTGCTTCTCAAATCTCTTATTCGTCGTTTCCTCGCTCCTTGCTTAAACCAGAAGTTGTTCTGCTCTGCCATCTTGCAGACCGTCCCAAAGCTCTTATTTAATAAAACTGTACTAAAATCTCTAATGAAGCAAGGAAAGGAAAATAAAGCCTGCACATCCAGCCATCTCACCTACTGCATCTGATGAAAGCAGCCAGCGGCTCCGCGAGTAAAATCAGCTCATGAAAGTGTGAATGAAAGCGCTGCTGCGCTAAAAAAAACCCACAATGTTGGATTGATATGATGGAACGCAGTGATCGATCACTGAAGATGTGACTTGCAAATAAATGTATGGAGCAGTATTAAAGGATATCAGAAGAGAAAATAAACAGAAAGCCTAAAACTGAGTGTACTTTGATATGAGTTGCATCATTTAAATGTCCTGGGGATGCATAGGGAGTCGCAAGGAAAGCAAGCCAGGAGAGAGGGAGTGAGGAAATATTTTTTCAAAGACATGGGACATCCTTTCCTCCAAAGCATCACATGAAGTGACATCCGTTTCTGATGATGTGCACTGTGTTGGTACTAATAAAGTCTCACAGTGCAGAGCAGCATGATTCTCTCTGTAGCTGTTACCTGTTTAACAAACACCTGCACATGAATAATTATAATCTGGGACGAGTTTGCAAAAATAGTTGTTGTTGTTTTAGACAACAGTGATCAAAAGTCGCACAATTTGACATTTTTAGAGCAGAAGACCATTGAAGCAAGGATGCAGATGAATCCAGAGATTAAAATAAGGAAAGAAGTTTGACTCTAAACAAAGCCATTTGAGATATTTGCAAAACTTAAAGTTGATTGTTATAGCGCCACCATGAGGTCTTTGAGTGCCATCTTTTTTGCCTGAGTAGTGAGTGGAATTTCCAACCCACCTGCCAATTTTGGTGAGTTTTTTTTAGCGGAAAAAAAGAAAGAACAATGAGAACAAAAATAGGACTCCAGCAGCTTTGCTGCTGAGATCCCTAAATAGATTTGAAGCCTTGTTAGATTAAACTCTTTAAGCTCAGTGACATCTCTCTGTTGTTTGCATAATGCATAAAATGCATTTCAATTGAGTCTCGTTGCTGCTGGCCAGCGTTGTGGCCGCTGTCTGGCTGCCGCTGGGGGCCCGCGTCTCGCTGCTGTTGGGGGTGATGCTGGGGGCCCGTGTCTCGCTGGGGGCAGCGCTGGTGGCCCAGGAGTCGGTCATTAGTCTGGCTTTATGCAACATGACAGATTATTCAATTCTTACTGCATCCGTAAAATGCATTATTTGTTTGAGACACATCTCTCTGTATTACCAAAAACAACACTTTACTTCTCTGATAAAATATAAATAAAAACTTTGGCTTGTATAATCCACACCTGAATAAATCCGTTTTCCGTGTGTTGAACAGCATTGTGGGAAATGGAGGATATCAGAGGAGCAGGTTGCGGGAAGGCGAGACAAGACTTCATCTCAAATAAACTCCTGGAATGTGGGGAACATTGCAGACTGATGAGCGGGGGGATTTTTCCTTAAAACAACAATAGACAGTCTGGGACTAATAGGCCACAGAATAAGCTGGGTGGCCTGGCCTGGCTGCTGGTGCTGCCCTGAGCTGGCCCAGGTGCTGCTGACTAGGGTGGAAAAGACCTCTCAGTCTCCTCGCAGCTGGCTGGACAGACATGCATAGACACTCACACACACACACACACACACACAGCTGGTTCCAGTGGTGGCCCAGCTGCAGCTGCTGCCACACTGAGCTCTGGATGGACTGGGTCACAGTGAAACACCTGTAAGGTGGATGCAGTCAAGTATTGCTGAGGATCAGGCTGACCCGGGAATGAAGTAATGCATCTGGATCAGATTTCATGTGATTGAGCTGTTAAATGTGCACTTTAACTGTGTTTGTCATGCTGAACAGAAATATCCCTCCTGAAGTTAGAAAGCAAAACATTTCAGTCACTTCACTTCATTATATTTGTATGACGGTTATCTGACTATTTTCACTTTACAAATATTGTGGGAATAATATTACAATAACAATGATATTATGCTGCACGACAATAGCTGTGAGTAAAATTTCAGTGGTATCTTATTGCACGTCTCATTTGTACTCCTCCTTGGAGAAAATGTATTACAAAAGAAAAGCTGCTGTACAAAAATTTTAAATATAGTAAAATGACATGTTTTCTCCATTGTTAAACATCTGTTACTATCAAAAACATGTTGACATTAATAGTTTACTATATTGAATGCTCTCCCTAATTCTACTAAATTCCCTTAACATTTGACAGCATCAAAGTGTCTGGATAATTTATTTCCACATATACGCTTTCAGTTCATGTTAAATTTATAATAAATCAAAGCATGGGCCTGGTGCAGTAGTTGAGTATTTTATAGTTTCTGATTCTGATTTTGTTGAAATATCATCTCCGTTTACAGTTTATGCCAGTAACATGACTTTAGTTTTATTACTACACACAGAAACTGCTTAAAAACATCAAAAATAGTTCAAAACAGCCAAATGTCATTAGTTTCAAGAGTCAAAGGTTTAATAAGGCTCACCTGCGCTGTCCATTTTTTCTCCATACACTGGCCACTCCAGGCAATGACTGAAAGTCGTGTTGATGTGTGCAAACAATCACGTGTGATGACAGGCAGATGATGACTATTAGGTTAAAAGCAGGCGAAGGTGGGTGATGGTCTACAGTGCTGAGTGACCATGTGGTTTTCACATTTCCACCTGGCATCCGCTTTACCCAGTTAATGCAGTTTAACCTCAGAGAGCACTGACACCATGTACAGCGCTCTGTCTGTGCCACATTAGAAGGAAAATATCCATAAATCTCTCAAAACGTCATGTTCCAGTGAGTCTTTTCTCATTTGCTGCCTCAGAACCTAGATGTAAACACACCTGTCCTGAGGGGAGATCACTATGGAGAACATGACAGAGCATATACAACTCTTCCTGGAAAACTAGAGCGAGGAGGATAAAAAGGAGAGATTTAGCTAGGATGTGAATGTGATTAATAGAACTGTCAGCCTTGAACGTTGAGACAGCTGCAAAAACCAGGCTGGTGAAGTGTGTGTGTGTGTGTGTGTGTGTGTGTGTGTGTGTGTGTGTTTAAAGGCAGTGTGTCGCCCTCAAGCAAGGCACTCAACCTGCTATGACTGCTCAGTGTCCAACAGTAGAGGGCTGTGGTTACTGGGCAGCTCCCAGGCGTTAAGTGTGAAGCAAAGTCAAATGAAGCATATTGTTTTTGAAGGGCAAACGGGAGGTCCACTTGTCCTGTTGACAGAGACTGAGAGCAACACAGTGGCTGAGAGACCGGTCCTGATGGCCTCAATGTGTCGCTGTAATTCATTTTTATGTATTTGCACTTGCATATCACACTTCAATATTGAAAAGTGTGTGAT